AAACAGCAAGGTGGATGACTGATTTCGTAGGGCTGAATAAAGGAAGATAGATTTTTTTAGCTCATTCTTGTATTTCTATAATTAATTTATAATTGTCTTGAACACTCCATCATGTCCCAATTTTCTACTGCATCAAGCATAAAAATGCATTCTTTGACCTAACTTATAAATAACGCATAATTCCTCAAACACTATATTTCACTCAGCGCATTGCAGTACCCATTAGTTGTGAGTTCCATGGGAGACACTTTAGCAGGTCACTGTTCCATGGAACTTGGACACCTTCATTGCCAGGTGTATCTCCTATCAGTACTTTTGTTAAGGACACGCAGCACTCAATACGAACAACGCTTCGGTAGATGGTGCTCTTCATACGGTTATGAAAGGTGCTGAAACACCATAAGTGGGTAGCTTGGTTCAATGCTGTTCTAGAAGACTAAGAGCAAAGGGACGGTGCGATACGTCATGAAATCTTGTTTGCGAAAAATCATGCGTTACTTAGCATACTCCTGTTGTACCTGAGACTTCTTGAATATCTAATTTGCAAGCTTAAAGAGTACATGAAGAATATGAAGATTCATGCCTGATTCATCACATGAAATTGGTGGAGTCCGAGGAACATTAATGGCTCATAAATGAATTTTCAATACACCGTGAAGTATGGACTATGTTAGTAATCACTTTGTCTTACATTAAGGTTGAAACGATGAAATATTTTTGCATTTCTGTTCGAAATACATTGGACAAGATTAAACATAACGCAGGACCTGATAAATCTAGCAGTTAAAGACGGTTTAATCTTCAAAACATCTAGGCATTCACCAATCCATATTAAAGTTTGTAAACATTGGTTATATCTACGCAGATAACACTTTATTGCTTAATCATTTTAGCTAACTTTAATGACAGCCACTGTTAATCTGAAGCAAAATCAGTTATGAATTTTGATTTCAATGCAGCTAGCCACGAAGAGGTTAGTTCAGACATGGTGTAGTCCTCCCCCCTTCCTTTTTGATGACCATCTTTAGTTTGATACCAGAATTGATTTCTGATGAAAACGGGTCACTTCATGATGTTAACTTTACGGCATGGTTGCAAGTAAAGAGGGATTAGTTATTTGAAGAAACGCAACCTCAGAGGTACACAGCTTTATATGCAACTGTTAAGGTGTAGCAGAAACAGTAATGCTGAACTTGGCCGCGTAACCTTCCTCCGTCAATTCGCCTTGGTTTTGCTCGTTCCGTTGTTCCACTGTGACTCGAAGACTCTTTTACATTTCCAGTTTTTACCATTACATGATTTGCTTTTTGACGACAGAACCCTTCATCCGCATTGCCGAAACACACCGTACATTCGTTTACCCAGTTTTGCAGCATCCTTCTTGAACATCAGATGTAGCTCTCTACACAGAAGCAGCTACACGAGTTAAAATTACTTTTCCACAGCCTCCTTTTCTATGGGCTCTGGTGCGTTAATGAGAGATCTTATGGTTATTGCATTAGCGATATATGCTCGATCGCAGTTGTCCTCATTTCGGTGTGCGACCTACTCTGACCGCAAAATGTCTGAGGAGGATTACAAAAGGTAGATGACAGTAATTTAGCGATGAATCTGAATCTGATTTATCAACGTATCGATTGTCAAAATACACGGAAGAGTTCGTTATCTTCAGACAGAAGCATTATATCCAAAAGCAGCTGAGTAATCTACCGTTTTATCAGAACGCTATCTTAACGTTTTGTTGCATCAACATCAATTCTAAAGAAACATAACTGATAACCTGAACTGCTCAACCTTAATAAAGTGAGGTTATTAGTCTGTGCGAGAAATGCTCCTACTAGCAAAGCCTCACTCTTACTTCTATTACATCAAAAGTTATCAGAAATGACTACCGGAATAAGGTGGTGAAGAAATCACATTCCAGAGCTGTATGCAAATCTAGAAGTCGCTTGTAAAGTTGCGATCACAGGCCGTCTACTGTGCAGTAGTGCGTCTTTGGCGCGATTAACTTACTCAGCCAATTTTCAGCAGGCTATTGCCCCCCCCCCGAATCATTACCTGTTCGACGGGAGACGAGACGAAACGACTTCACAATGAACTCTGTTTCGATCAATACCGGCCAGTCGTGTTTCTTAATTCTGTCGAAGATCCTGTAACGGATTCGAATTGGTATTTCCTCCAGGCAGAATTTGACAACCCGAACTCAGACAAACCTCGATTGCGAGGGTTTGGTTGGTTGGTCATCTTAAAATTCAAAAGAAGCGCTCATGGAACCGCAAAGACTCATGAAACGGCGGAAAAATGAACAGTTTATAAGAATTCGAATGTCGGTGTTCTTTGCATTTTCATGCTGGGGTCATTCCTACAACCCTTCTTTTGCTGAAGTTAACGATGAAGCGTCGATCTCCTTTTACATGTCATCAGTCAAGCGTGCCTTATTTTTAATCTACAGTCAATAACGACTCCGTGACAAGCATGCAGCGTAATCTCCTGTTTACTTGCCATAGAGCTGGACTCATTTATCAACTTTGGAAGCAAGAAAGGCGAGTGACACTGACTGAGTGGCTCTCGGTTCTGAACTATCGAAAACTGGACCTCTTGATTCTATGTCTGAAATTCTACCCTTTCTGAGCAACCCCGGTGCACCGTGACTCATGAGGGCACACTCAACCGCAGCTCTCTGATGCGCTCCAGTACTTCGATCATTGCCTGCTCTTCGCCAGCCGGACACTGAGGCTGAATTGCAGTAAGCCTTCATAGCTGGAGCAACATATATATGTATCTGACGAGGGAAACGGCTGAAGAACAAATGTGCAACCGGCTCAGCCCGGGTTTCACCGTGACAGTTTTCATCATTTGCTGGAAATCCTCTGTGACGCATTCTCTCTTTACAATTATTACTTTCACATGGTGACAAGAAGAACACCATGAAATTATTTAGGACACGACATTCATGATTCATTGCTTGCCTCTATGCGATGGAAAAATTATGTATGCTATAATTTTGAATACGCCTAACACAAAGTAGAAACCGAGGTGAGTTCAGATACATTTTTTCACCAATTGCTATACATGCCACTGCATAACTGTCCCGACTGCAAGCATTTCGTTTGTATTCTCAGAGCTGCGCCGACCACCAGTGTCGATTATGCTTTCAAACTTTGGACAGTCCATTAAATAGAACACCGCTGGAGACTTCTGGCACCATGGCCTGATAAAGTTTCTTTCCTTGCGTCACTTTTCCCTTTCCTGAAGTAACTAGGCTCCGGTTAAGCGTGAATGAGTGAAAGCGCACACATCAGAACATCGCCTAATTGGAAAAATTTCAAATTCTCTTTTCAATGTTGCTAGGTAGAATGAGACTTGTTGTTCCATGGGCCATAACATATGCCAAATCAATATATCATATCGAAGCACGTGACCGTGACCGCCATATAAAAGTGCATGTCTTCGATGGTATGCTCTAAAATCTAACCTCTCATCGGCTTCCTGGTTAAGAAGGGTATCGATCAGACAATAGAACTGCGTCTTAGAACAAAATTTCATATTTTCAAACCAGTTTATTAGCGAAACGGAGTCAATGATAACTGGAAGAATTCCTCGTGCTTCTGAGCCAAATCTCCGAGAAGCAGAAGGCACTCGAAAACTGCTTAGTATATTTGTACTCTGGAGTAAGCATTTCAAACTTGTAGCTAATCAAATCAAGAGAGACGCTTAATTAATTCAGTTCTGCGCAGTGAGTGGATGTCTGTCAACAGCATCTGAAACTTCTGAAACTCGGTTATCGTTGATTTGGCAGCAATCACTTGACTATTTCTCGTTTAAGCCACTCATGAACAGGAGTGATTATGACTCTGACAACACTGTGTTTATGATTTTCCCTCATTTATATATTTCACGTTTGTCTAAACCGACAATTGGGCAATTTGTCAAGGCAGTTATTGGAGCGCTGTCACCATTACTTAGTGTCAAACCAGATCTTCAGCAGCTTTTCATTTCGCTGTGGTCAAAGCCTTGTTTTTTCACGTTCTCTCGTTGCACCTCTAGATTTCGGCAATGTCTTAATAGTCTGCGTTGCACTTGGGAGATGTCCGGTTCACAACTGAAGTGCGAAATAGATTTTCTCTTATTAATTGCTAATTACTGCAAAGAAATCGCCTCATTTTGCTTCGAGGTTCACACAAAACAGGGATTAAAGTTCGGTGGCTTGAGAACCCTCTGGACAACAACGTGTTTCGAAGCATACGATACACGCTAATTGATTGATTATGTACCTTACGACTGCAAACTGCAATGAACTAGCCCGGTGGCTACCTAAAAATCAGCTTAAAAGGTAAGTGTGCTACACAGCCTAGTCCGATTCAAATCTTTTGAGGTCTAACTTTCAGGGTGGTAAGTAAATGAGCTGACTTCTTTATGTCCGTTGACAGCGTGTCGTTTCCATTGGACGAATGGGACATCTACCCAACCACCTACCCTTCATACAATGAGGCTAGAACGAGTCAGCAGCGGGTATAAAAAGTAGGTTGCTGAACTGTCACGGAAACGGAATCTGTCAGTCAAATGAAACTCAAAACATAATGGACAGCGACCAACAATGTCATGCAAATATTTACGACCATGAAGAAGAAACAAATGGCCGGTTTTCTAATATAAGGAGAAAGCACAGAAAATGCCCGTAGCATGACACAGCAATACGAGGTACTGGTGACAGAGAGGTTTCCGTAACGACGACTATCGTTTAATTATCAGCATAGAAATTGAAAGCGAGCAACTTGCGAAAAGAAACGAAGGTTGGCAAAGTACATTATATTCACCAGCAGAATGTACCAGTGGCCATGTGATGCTGTGGCGACCGGCGGCGAGTAAGCGCCGACCGAGCGCGGAACGTACGGAGACAGGAAGGAGGGCGAGTGAGGTGAGCAAGCGAACAGCTGGTCGACGGTCGCCTGGTAGCGGCTGCATCGGGCTGTTGGTTGGTCGCTCGCCCTGTTGCTCCTCTACGTCAACAAAGTGACCTCCTCTCGGCGGTTGCTCAAGTTTGCACAGGTGGTGGCACGAAAGTCATTCGCAGTGCCGTTGCGACGAAGAAATTTCCTAAGCGCGTTCTGAATCTCGGGGATCCTTACGGCGTAGACGATCGGGTTCACCAAGCTCTTAAGCAGTATGCACAGGTTGGCCAGCACGCTGGTGAAGAAGACCAGCGAGTGGGCGGAAGTCGCCGAGTACGGCAGGGCGCACGTCTCGCAAGTGAGTACGAAGATCATGCTGACCGGCATCCAGCCGACCAGGAAGGTACCGACGATGATCAGCGTCGTGACCAGGGTCCTGCGATTGCGTCGCAGCTGCTTTTCGTCCGCGTGTGCCCTGCTGTGAGCGAACCTGCGCTCGGATTTGGCCAAGATCACCACCACCGCTACGTAGAACACGGACATGATCACGATGAACAGCAGTATGAGCAGCGAGATGGCCAGCCGGAACTCCAGCTGGTGATAAAACAGCACCTGGTCGCAGTCGCCGCTTGGTGACCGATAGCCTTGGTCGTTGATGGACGAGAAGTAGACGAAGAACGCCAACGGCGGAAGAATCCACAACAGCACGATGACGGCGATCGTGTTGCGACGGTTCAGAATCCGGCCGTACAGGAACGGATAGGCGATCAGCAAGTAATGGTTGACGGCCAGCGCCAGCAGATGCAAACATCCAGTCAACAGTCCGCCGGTTCTGACCGCTTCCAGGGACAGTGCGACGCACGCGCTGACCGGAAACTCGTAGACCGCGTACAGGTAGCTGTTGTAGACGAGGCTAAACGCGACCACGGACGACGTCCACACGTCGGATATGGCCAGACTGACCGTCAGTCGGATGGTGGCCGTCGGACTGTAGCGTACCCACATAAGAGGCAGTAGCACGAACAAGTTGCTGACCATGACCATCAAGCAAATGGTGATGAAAACCGGCACGGTGATCGCGTACGCGCTCTTGCGCCACTCCATCAGCTCGTCGACCGTCACGTTGACGGTGTTGACGTTCCAGCCGTCGGTCACGTTCATCCGTTCGTCCATCTGCGAGCAATGGTCACTCAACGAACGACGATTGACGAGACCGACGCCACGTAGCAACAGCGGTAAGACTTGAAAGAGAGGCGACGAGGCAAATGGTCGGTGTACAACGAAACGCTCGAAGATACCCGCCGACACGGACGACGGCGGGGACGTCCTCCTGCTGGTCCGGCCGGCCAACGGCGACTACGTCTAAGCTGAAGAAGGACACTCCGTACGTGTTTATACAGCTGATGCCGCCCTTCGATCGTTGCACGTTCGCTCGGGTTGGCCGTTCGGAAAGCATAAATCAATTTCTGGAGGAAAGCGAAATCATCGTTCCCATCAGCCAATCACACGGATCTCTGTCTCGACAGGTTACACCTGGCGCTGTGCATTCGCCTCCCGCGAAACTCGTTCAACGCTTTCCCTGTCAACAAATACCGGCACGTCTGTCACCGCATTTGATCCAGTGTCAACTTGTCACTTCAACTGTCACCTACAACGATGATGATGACGAACAGCCTTCAGAAAAGCATCTGTCAAGCTCGATTAGATGCCTAGTTATCCCTTCACTGAAGGCCCTAAAATAACTACCCAACTAAGATAATTGTTTGCCTAATTACTTTATGTTTATTGCTTGAATAGAACTTGACGAAATTCCACTTTTCAGCATTAGAACAAAATTGTTAATGCGGATATTGCACAGTCGAACGGAGAATTAAAAATGAGTAGAACATAGCGAGCATGACAACCGGCTTGAGAGGAAAAATAAAGAAACAGATGGAAGCACCGGTTATTGCACTTCAAGCATATCATGAGGGTACAGCTTGACTGAATCAATCAATATTAAATGAATAAATCGTGCGTCATGGCATGTTAGATAAGGCTCCACGAGACTGATGCCGGCACTGTTGAGTTTAGAATCGGAAATAAGTACTCTTCCTCACTCATATGGAAACAGCAGGAGCTATTTGATGAAGCCACAAGGCACCAACTCGACATGGTTGGACTCTCATTAACGAAGCGCCAAGGATCTGCAATTCTGAACCTCCGCGAGTGCAACTCACTTTATTCACGTGTCGACTTTTCGACGCTCTCTCAGGCGGATGTTTCTAATATAACCCAACCTTGCTGACAGAATCATTCAACGCAATCGTCCATCTGAAGCTACAACAGGCTAAAGAGTTGACCTAGTTACAGATCTATGCGCCCAACTGAGGGGGACCATGAGTCACTGACTGAGAAAGTTCAAGTCATATGTCGAAGCAGACAATGAAACGTGGAAAGGCGTGATTGGAAACTGCCGCCTAGCGACCCCACAACAACGGCCTGAAGTTGTTTCTGTTTTGTGCAAACAATGGACTATTCATTATGAACACCTTCTTTCTACATCGAACCATGCATCAGTATACCGGGTATAGGGAAACTTGTGCACAAAAACCGACTATTGATTTAGTAGTCATATTGTCTGCTTTACAATACTCGCGTTAAAAGATGCTCAGGGCTGTCGAACGATCACCAACTTGTCCTTGGCACGATGCGCTGTAAGAAATGCAGTACCACACGAAGACCTGGCGACAGAAGCAACCAGAGAATCAAATAGGAAACATCATCTTCGGTGGACACAAGAGCGAAATTCGCAAATAACATCTCACGACGGTTTAAACAGATACCGGTGATGACAGCTGATGTGGATACCGAGTGGCAGCTCTTCAAGAGCGGCATACTCGAGGCTGCCGCCGAATGCTGCGGATTTATACGGGTTGGCATGGAAGTCAGAAAAGAACTTCCTTGTCGATACTAGGGGTACAGCTGACAGTAAATAAGAAGAAGACTGCATTCAAGAAATGGCTTGCAAACAAAGAGCTGTCTACTCGCGTGCGATATGTCGTGGCAACGAAAGTAGTGGCAAAAGCCAACGCTGATTCCTGAGAGAAATTCGGTGAGGTGTTGGAGTCGAATTTCCCGAGGCAAGAACCATTTTCCTGCAGA